AGAAGATATCCTTCCATTACGCCCGAGAAGCCCATCTCTCTCTCTCTCTCTCACAGGGACCAGCTAGCCTTTACACTTAAGGAGTCGGGATTGTTTCTTTTATCTCTTGGATGTTTTGTCACTGAATGCAAAGGGGTTCTGCAGAGGAAGGGTGGTCCTCTACGTGTTTTGATCATTGAATTCGTAATTAAACTTGTTTGATGTCATCGCTATTCACTAGAGATAAGATATATCCCTCCCTCACTATGCAGTTGATCGTCTTTCTATCACATCCATTTACTCAAATATATTAATTAACGTAATTTTTTACAATAACCCTTGTTTCAGAACGCTTTTAAATAGCTACAAAGATTAAAAATGACTCGTGAAAAAACAAAGAGAATGATTTTAAAATTTATCTGCCAACCTCTTCTTTCCTTCTTTCACTTCTTTCCATGAGCCAACCAGTGCAATATCTTTCATGCAGCTCTATTATTTGTTTTCTTATTATCACAGTTCCCGAATTCAAATGAATTTAATATACTCAAAAAAAAATATTCGAAAATTGAATATATGTATATATGTAGTTAATTAAATTATTCATATATATATATATATATATATATATATATTCGACCAAATGAATTCTATGCGAATACCAAGTAATTACAAAAACATAAATATAATTGTGTGTGTATATATATATATATATCAGGTCTCTTGGGCTTTCCATGATCAGTCTCCATCTCTCTTTTTTTTTCCTCACTTACATTCACTTATTAAAACCCTAGCTAGTTTCCTATGGGACCTGATCAGGGGAGCCCTAGGGAATTATTCTATATTTATATTAAGCAATATTCAACTCTAATATATATATATATATATATATAGTTATTTTTCAGATTTCAATTCGATGGGAAATAAATTTATAAAAAAAAATATATATATGAGTGGGTCCCTCGGCGCCTCAGAAACCCACAAAAAAACATGCCCTTAAAAGCCCACGAATCTCATCAACCCTAGCAACAACAGCAACCCTTCATTCATGCAAGACCCCCTTTGCATTGCCATTAAAGTCATAGTCATATGCTCAGAAGATTTATGGCTTTGTTGAGGGGACCATCTTTCACTTTGTGTGGGCTTCATCGCCATTCCTTGGATTCAACTCCTCCACTCTTCCCTCTCTCTCTCTCTCTCTCTCTCTCTCTCTCTCTCTCTCTCTCTCTCTCTACGTG